CTATTTCCTTGTTGGTGGGCATTTTTGGTTCACATGAAAGGTGTTACAGTAAACAATTTTTATTTGTGTTGGGTATCTAAGAGGAATTACTGGGGTATAAATAAGTAAATATGTATTTTTTTTATTTGTGCATTGTAATTATACATAATAGTGGATTCATTGTGACATATGCATATAACATAATTTGTTCCATTTCATTTTCCAGTACTTCCCCTGTTTCTCTCTTTCTCCCTCTCCCAAACTATTTCCTGTATTGTATTGGTATCCTATTTATCTTTTAAATTGGTGCATTATAACTATACTTAAAATGGGATTTGTTGTGATGTAGTCCTATATCCACATAGTATAATTTGGTCAATTTCATTTCTCAGTACCTCTCTTTGTCCTCTCCTTCTCCCTCTCTCTCCCTCTCCATCTTTTCTTACTAGTCTCCCTTCAATTTTTCATCTTTTATTTCCTTCCCTCCCCTCCTTCCTGGGTATTGAATACAGGATTGTTTTCCAAATGAGCTGCACCCCCAGGATTTTTTATTTTGAGGTAGGGCCTTACTAAGTTTCCCAGGATGGTCTTGCAATTGTGATCCTCCTACCTCAGCTTCATGAATATCTGGGATTACAGGTGTATACCACTATGTGCAGCTTCCCTTCTATTTTCATAAGATCCATAACAATTTTTTTCTCCCTAAACTCAACTCTTGACTTTCAGAGTTTGTTTCATTTCATTTCGCATAATGTTCTCTAGTTCCATCCATTTACCAGCAAATGACATAATTTCATTTTTCTTTATGGCTAAGTAAAACTCCATTGTGTATATATACCACATTTTCTTTACCCATTGATCTGCTGAAGGACACCTAGCCTGGTTCCATAACTTGGCTGTGGTGACTTGAATGCATATATCATTATAGTATGCTGATTTTAATTCTTTTGGATAAATAACAAGGGGTGGGATAACTGGGTCATATGGTGTTTCCATTATTGATCTTTAAAATTTTCTTTTAGTTGTAGATGGATACAATACCTTAGTTTTATTTATTCATGTGGTGCTGAGGATAGAACCCAGTGCCCCACATTTGTGAGGCACATGCCCCACCACTGAGCCACAACCCTAGCCCCCATTGATATTCTTTTGAGGAATATCCATACTGAGTTCCATAGTGATTGTACTAGTTTGCAGTTCCATCAACAATGTATAAGTGTTCCTTTTTTACCACATCCTCTCTAGCATATATTGTAGTTTGTGTTTTCTAAAAACATATTTATTAGTGCATTATAATTATACATAATAGTTGGGCTCATTTCGACCTAATCATGCATGCCTGAAGTTTAATTTGCTCAATTTCAGTCCCTGATGCCTCTTCTTTCTCTCATCTTCTCCCTCCCCTGTTTTGCTTCCTCTACTATACTGCTCTTCCTTCTATTTATTTATCTGTACATTTTCAGTAGTGCTTTATAGACATAAATTCAGAATTCACTGTAGTATATTTATAAATGCAAATAACTTAATTCCAACAAGTTCATTCCTTCATTTCTCCCCTTTCCTGTCCCACCTTTATCCCTACCAATATCCTTCTACTCCACCGATTATCCTTCTGTCTTTGTGATATCCATTTACCCCTTATTTTGCTTTACTTTCTGCATATGAGACAAAACATTTGAACCTGATTTTGTGAGTCTGGCTTATTTCATTTAGAATAATGTTCTCCATTTTCATGCATTTTCCAGCAAATGCCATAATTTTCATTCTTTTTTGTAGATGAGTAAAACTCATTTGTGTATGTTTTCTAAATCCATTCATCTGTTGATGAGCACCTGGGTTAGTTCTATAATTTGGCTATAGTGGATTGTGCTGCTGTAAATATTGGTAAGTATGTATCACTATAATATGCTGATTTTAATTTTTTTGGATAAATTCTGAAGAACATATAGCTGGTCATATGGTGATTTCATTTCTAGATTTTTATTTTTAAGGAATCTCCATGCTGCTCTCCAGAGTGATTGAACTGATTTGTAGTCCCAGCCATGGTATATGGCTGTACCTTTCCCCACACATCCTCACTAGCATTTATTATTATTTGTTCTTGATACTTGTCAATCTGATTGGTGGAGATGAAATATCAGTGTACTCTTGATTTGCATTTCTCTGGTCACTAGGGAAGTTGAACATTTTTTCACATATTTGTTGACTTTTTTGTTTCTTCTTTTGAGAAATGTTTACTTAGTTTATTTGGCTTGCCATTTATTGATTGTTTTCTTTTTAGTGTTAAGCTTTTTGAGTTCTTTGTATTAATCCCCTGTCAGATGTGTAGCTGGCAAAATTTTTCTTCCATACTGTATGCTTGCTCTTCATGCTTTTGTTTCCTCTGCTGTGCAGAAGCTTAATTTGATGCTATCTCACTTATTGATTCTTGGTTTTATTTCTTGAGTTACAGTGGTCTTTTTAGGAAAGTTAGTGCCTGAAGTGATGTGTTGGAGTGTTGAATCTTTGTTTTCTTATAGTACTTGCAAAATTTCTGAACTAATTCCTAAGTCTTTGATCTATTAGATTTGACTTTTGTTCACAGCAAGAGGTAGGGATCTAGTTGCACTTTTCTGTGTATGGATATTCAATTTTTCCAGCACAAAAAGGCTGTCTTTTCTCCAACATATATTTTTGGCACCTTTGTCAAGTATCAGATAAATGTAGCTATGTGGATTTGTCTCTGTGACTTTTATTCTATTCTACTGGTCTTTAAGTCTGTTTTGATGCCAATACCATGCTGTTTTTGTTACTATATTCCTGTAGTATAATTTGAGATCAGGTACTGTGTTGCCTCCAGTGTAACACTTCTTGCTAAGGATTGCTTTGACTATTCTGGATATTTTATTCTTCCATATGAATTTTAGGACTGTTTTTTCTACTTCAGTGAAGAATGTCATTGGTATTTTGATGAGGATTACACCAACTATGTATAACACTTTTGGTAGTATGCTCATTTTGACAATATTAGTTCTGCCTATGTAATAACATGGTAGGTCTTCAACATCTTCTAAGGTCTTCACATCTTCTTCTTTTTTTTAAAGAGAGAGAGAGAGAGAGAGAGAGAGAGAGAGAGAGAGAGAGAGAGAGAGAGAGAACTTTTTTAATATTTATTTTTTAGTTTTCAGTGGACACAACATCTTTATTTTATTTTTATGTGGTGCTGAGGATTGAACCCAGCACCCCGCACATGCCAGGTGAGCGTGTTACCGCTTGAGCCATATCCCCAGCCCAAGGTCTTCACATCTTCTAACGTCTTCTTCCACTTCTTTCCTCAGTATTGCATAGTATTCACTGTAGAAATCTTTTACCTCTTTAGTTAAATCAATTCCCAAGTATTTTATTTTTTGAAGTTATTGTAAATGGGATCATTTTCCTGATTTCTTTCTTGAAAGATTCACTATTGGAGTATAGGAAATCTATTGATTTATGAGTGTTGATCTTATATTTTACAACTATGTTGAAATAAAAAAATCAGATCTAGAAGTCTTCTGCGGAGTTTTTTGGGTCTTATAAATATAGGATCATGTCCTCTACAAACAGAGAGAGTGAGACTTCTTCTTTTTCTATTTGCCTCCCTTTAATTTTTTTCTCTTGCCTGATTTCTCTGGCTAGTGTTTCAAGAAATATATTGAAAAAAAGTGGTGAGAGTAGACATCCTTGTCTTCTTCCTGATTTTAGAGGAAATACTTTCAGTTTTTCTCCATACAGTATGATGTTGGCTTTGAGTTTTCACAAATTGTCTTTATAATATTGAAGTAAGTTCCTTGTATCCCTTGTTTCTTCAGTGTTTT